TCTCCTCTCCTCTCCTCTCCTCTCTGCCTGGGAAGTTCCTGAAGAAGCCTGGTGCCCTCCACTCCTTATACTTAGCTTCATCATGCCTCCAGAATGGTGTCATAGAGAAGGAGTCTGGACCCTGTGTCAGGTCTTGCATTGAAGGAAGCATGACCCAGCAGCCAGGTGAGTTTCCTGCTGTCCCTCAGTCCCTTTGCCTAGCACATGTCCTTGAGACTTTCTCCCCCGCTCCATGTGCTGGCCCATACTCCATATGTCACCCTCAGGCCTGGCCCCTTTTACCTTTCCTTTCCAGCCCTGGCCAGTCACCACAGTCCAGATTTAGGCTGATCTGTGAAATGTGACCAGCTCTGTCTACATCAGCGGAGTGGCCAGCCCTTCCCTAGCTTACACATGCCCAGACCCTGGCAGACCTTAGAACAGGGCTGTCTTCAAACGCCTGCATGGGACACAGCTGAGTCTGGGCAGGGACCGAACATTGGGCAGGCTGTGCAAGCAGGAGGGACTTCGGGGGACAAGGCACTGTGGGGTCCAATACCAGGGGCAAATTTTTCCACCCCTGAATGCGCCCTTCACAGTGTGGTACCTGCAAAGTTGGGCTGCGGGACCTCATGTTGGGCAGTTGGGGCAAGGCTGGTACAGGAGTGGGAGTAATATTCATCAGTGCTGAGTAGAGGTGAAAGATCATCACCTCCTTTGCCCTACTGGCAACACCCTTCCTGATGCAGACCAGAGTGCTGGTGGCCTTTTTTCCCATGAGGACACATTGTTGCCTCATGTCCAACTTGTAGTCCACCAGGACCTCCAGGCCCTTTTCTGCAAAAGATTTTTCCAGCTGGTCAGCCCCCAACATTTAGCTGTGCATGGCGCTATTCCTGGGGAACCCAACAATTCAGAGACTGCAATCCACCTCACTTTCAACTTGTCTAGTCTACACTTGGGCAGATTGTCCATCAGGGTGTTTTGGGAAACTAGTTTAGTGAAGACTGAGGTGAGGAAGGCATTGACTGTCTCAGGCTTTTTCATATCCTTTGTCACCAGTGCCCCTGGCACATGTACCGGTGAGCCCACATTTTCCCCTAGTCTTTCTTTTGCTGCCTGTGTACTTGTAGAAGCATTTTTGTTGTCAGTCTGGTCCCTTGCTAGATTCAACTTTAGGTGGGTTTTGGCTCTCCTAACCCCATTTCTGCATTCTTGGGAAGTTATCACGGATGTCCTCCAGAGGCTTTCTGGATGGCTTGTGCCCTCCTACCTTGTCCCTCAGGCAGGTTGTCTGAAGAAGGCCTCATCTTCTTTCTGATCAAGCAGCCAATGAAAGGCACTTAAAGTTCACCCATGTTGGTCTGCCTGCTAAACCTGACCCATAAACTCTTGACTCATCATCTATCCCAAGGCAGAGCTCCATGCTTTGCCACGGCTCTCTCACTTAAACAAAAACTCCCTCTCTTTGTTGACCGGTCCTGTCCTTCCTGAACAGCTTTTATCCATCCATCCATCTGTCCGTCCGTCCATCCATCCATCTATCTATCCATGCATCCATCCCAGCACTCCAGTTGTGTGACCTATCCCACTGTGTCCCTTATCCCATGAGATCATAGCTCTGGAATTGCCCACAGATTTCTAATTCCTCCTGTTTTTTTTTTTTTGGTGTGGTTTTTTTTGTTTGTTTTTTGTTTTTTTCCCGAGGCTGCATGCATTAGTGTGCAGGTACTTCAGAGAGGTTCCCAGCCACACTGGTTTCCCGGTAAGGGTATAAGAGGTTTCACTGCCATGCTGTCCCATAGGCAGTTCCTTATTTATGTGCATATGCTTGGGGTGATTCCACTTCAGCCCTTTGTTGATTATTATGCTTCTTTTGTTTATATAAACCTTTGCTTGCCTACAGCACCGATCAGTTCTTCACTCCTCCAAAATTCCTGTTTAAAGCTCTTCTTAACTGGTTTGCCAGTCTGTTAGCAAAGATAATTTTAGCCCACTTTATCAGGGGATAATTTTACCTCACCTGTTCCAAGAAGTTGCTGATTCTCAGAGAGGTTCTCATGGTCATAGAAACTAAAATACTATTGTTTTTACCAGCTGCACAACCAATTGTTGACCCACAGGACCTGTCCAGTGCACAAACCTCCTCACCAGCAAGATGAAGAACACCACCACCTAGGTTACCATGCTCTTTACCATCACCATCAGAGTCATTTAGTTATACTCTATACTTTCCTGGTTTGGCTGTATCATTGATGCCTACATGGAAAAACAGCAAGGTAATAGTCCAAGGGCCTAAAAAGCTTCAGCAGCCTCTCAACAATGCACCTTTTGATCAAAGACAGTGGACAGAGTTCATTAGGAACTGCTAGAAGTTGCTAGCAACTTGCTGGCAGTCAAGGAATCCTGTGGCTGCCCTTATCTGGCAGCAAAAAGCACCCTGAGCTTCCTTGGAATATTCCCAAGAGTCCACAAATGATCTTAGATAAAGCCCGCAGAAAACATTTTCAGGACACTGTTGGACAAAGCCCTGAGGAACTTGGTGGTAATTCAGTGTTTGTCCTGATGTGAGCAGGAAGTTGGACTGGAGACCTCCCAAGGCCTCTTCTGACCTTAATGGTTCGGTGATTCTGGCACTTGTAGTGATAGCTACTGCTATTCTTGGAGTCATGAATGCCTTTTTTGCATGTGTGTTAGCACGAAGCATGGCATCCCCCACAGCAATCATCTCCTAGTGGTGTGATGTTGCCTCTTGGGCCTGAAACATTTTAAGTACGAAGTTTAGTTCTGAATAACTGCTTGTTCCGATTATGGCCTCCTCACAGACTACAACATACGTGCATTACATCATGATGAGAGTGACACTTGCAGAACACCACAGCAGGAGGGTGATGATTTTCTAACCCTGGAGTCCTTTGCAGATCCAAGAGAATACAGCAGGATTAGAAGAGCCTTAAACATCTCAGGAATGCATTTGTAAGGTGGCCTTTCTCACTATGAGAGACTGATAGTGTTAAGTTTTTTCAGTCAGGAGAAAAGAAGGCTTTGGGAAGGCCGCAGAACAGCCTTCCCACACCAACCAGGAGGTAACAAAGAAGAGTCATGCTCTTCACTGCTGTACATGATTGGGGGACAAGCGCCAGTGTGCAGTAAGAACATTTCTCAGAGTTGGTGCCATCTCTGTCTTTGGAGGT